GGTTCGCCACCAGCCAGATTCACCCAGCTACTCCAAACACCTGACCGATCCGAAGGTTGCTTTTGGATCCCCTTTTGGATCCCCCGATCCGAAGGTTGCTTCTTGGTCCCGCACAACCAGGTGTTCAACCAAATCAGCCCACATGTTTCAACCTTTACACCACGTTTGTTTCGGTAAGGGCCACGTTTATTGCCATGGTACATGTTGTTTGTTGCCATTTTGTTTAACGTTGATGTTGATCTCAGGTCTGTATCTAACAGCTTCCTACGTTCTCAAAGCTAGAATCTGGGTAAGTTTCCCTTGGGTGACCTCAGCAGACAAATCAAAGGCTTTCTCAAGCCAAGCGGTGAACACCGGCACGACCAATAGCAAACCCAAAGACGGCTGTTTCAACAAGGGCCATGTTCACAAAGCTGTTCATGGTCAGACCAGCTCCTTAAGTCAAGCACGAGATTAAACCGATGGGGTTTAGGACTTCCTCGACCCCTACCCCACAAATTGTTTGGGGGTTTGTCCTCAGTGCGGTGGGTCAAGCGAGGGTGTTTTTCAGAACTTGTCCCCGGGGTTTTCACGCGCCCCCGAAGGCACCCCCCGCGAGTGGACGAGTCGACCGGTCGTAGGCCAAGGCTGTGGGCCGCGCCCTGGGCTGCAGCGGCGGCTTCGTGAGCATCCACGGGCCTCCGGGCACGGGCAAGAGCCAGACGCTGCTGCAGCTGATCAACGCCCTGCACCTGCAGCGCCTCGGCCGCGTTCTTTTTCTCCTTCTTTTTTTGTTTTTGTTTAATTTGTTTTGTCTCTTTTTGTTGATCTTTTCGGATGTTTCCGGGGCTGGTGTGAGAAGTAGGGAATGTGGTTGAATGAACCCAGGCGTTGGCCCCCGTGAAGGAAACCACCAGTTGGATGGCTTCCCTCACTCCCTGCTGAGCACCAGCAAGTTTTGGGTTCCTTTGGTGGGGCAGGGTTGTGTTCCCTAGCAAGGTTTTTCAAGAAACTGATGAACAATCTGGGTGTGCGATGTTCGAACATGCTTCTTTGTTTCTTCTGCACGTTTGGGTTCATCCCGACCCCTTAGGGAGCAACCCTGTGGGTGTGGGGGGCAATCTCCTTTTGATGTCCTTTTGGTATTTCTTGAGGTCACTTGTTGTTTGCCTTCTGGTTTCTTGCTGGGGTCTAATGAACTTCTGTTTTCTTGCCAAATTTGTAGATTTTCTTGTGCCCTCACTTGCATGAAGGGCACGGTTCTTTGGACATTTGCCGATCCGTTCTTTGCCTTGGGCTGACTCCTAGAGGATGGCAGGTTGATGACTCAATGCGGCCAACTCCCCCTCCAAAAGTTGGACCCATAGTCCGACTGCCCCATCTTTTGATGTCGTTGCCGACCTGGAGAGCCTCCCAATGTCGAGAAACACCCCCTTTGGATTTGCCAGGCATGTAGCTACAAATTCCCTTCTTTTGCAAAGATTGCTTCCTGACAAGAGATCTGTTTTTGACGAGTCCTTCTCAATCCCCCGCATTCTGAGAGTTTTCCCTCCTTTGGAACCGACTTGAGCAGCGCCCACATTCCGCAACAGCTATTTGGCCATTTGAGCGACGTTCTAAAACCCCTGCACTTGAAAGTCGTATTCGGGAGGAAATATCGTTTTCAAAATGTTGACTTTTCCCAGGTCGCGGAAGCGCCGCGCAAGGTTCGCGGAAGGGGTTTCTCAATTATGTACTCGCGGAAGGGCTAGGATTCAATCACGAAAGCACAAAATTGTAGTTTTCCTTCACGCGCGGAAGCGAAAACAAACGTCAATCCCGTTTCTCAATCCGCGGAAGCGACGCGGAAGCGACGCGGAAGCGATTCCCTCTTCAAACCTCTTGCGGAAGGAACCTTTCACGCCGCGCAAGCTCCGCGGAAGCCTTCGCAGAAAATATGCATCGTCGTTTGGCTTTTATGGCTTTGGCTTCTCTCGGGGTTTGCCGCGCGCGCAACGACGAGCGACGTTGCGCGCAGGCGGATGCAGCAGTACCACCAGGGCATCGAGGACTGCCGTACCTGGGAGGTGCACATTGGTTGGTCTAGCTGGTTTCACGGGGAGGATATTCCATCGGACCTCTATGAAGATAGAGAGCTCTGCAAAATCTCCGGCTGGCTTCTTTGTTTTGAGGACCCCTGGCTGAGTGGGGATAAGACCCATGCAAAGCTGCATAGCTATGATGGTAGAACCAAGGGTCAAGGCGTTTCGCTGCAGGTGCTCCGGGCCAAAGGCCAAGGCTTTCTTCGGGGCACGCCCCCCTGCCCTCCCCGGACCCGAACCGAGCCCCCGAAATGCTGAGGTCGGATTTGGGCTTGGAACCAACACCACCTCTGGAGCCAACACCTTGTGGGGGGGCGGTAAGTCTGCATGAGAAGTTTCGTTTCCAGCTTCCGCCAACCGGAGGAATTCTGGCAAGTCGTGGTTCGGGAAATCGTTCGACTTGGGCCCCGGGAAGCGCAACCCCGGGACCAAAAGGCGCAGCTGGTTTCCCGAAGAGGATCTTTGTCGCCTCACAGCCGAATCTCGTGGGTTGGGTGTGCTTTTGAACACGGGGAGGCCCCCCGAACAAGGCGGGAGTTCCCGCCCTTGGATTTCAACCCCCTTAGTAGGTTATCGTCGTTATCGTCATGATGGCTGCTTGGCAGGGTTAATTGCTATGGCTATGACTGTGAGTGACTGGCAGACATCGGAGTTAGTGGCTATTGGGCAAGCCATGGCTACATCTGGGAAAAGTAAATATCCCCTTTTAGAATTATAATAATTCCTTGTGGGCCCCACAAGGACACCAACCCGTTGACCCAGAGAGGTCACCAACTGAGAAAACCGGGACATCAGACTTCCCCTTCCATTTGCTTAAGAATATTTTTTATTTCCCCCTGTTGGTTTTAAAGGGAATCTATCTCTACTGGAAAAAATATAAATATAAATATAATACATATATATATATATACATATATTCTTCATTTGTTTTTCCAGGGTCTTAACCAAATGGACCTTCCCCAGGACATCGCCCTGGGCGTGCGCGGCACCGGGGCCGCCGCCGCGGTTTCGAGGCGAGAGCAGTGGCTGCGTGCCGTGGCCCATGCTCCGCGGCTGCTGGTCTGCGCCCACAGCAACCCGGTGCTCGGCTCCGCGAAACCGCCATCTGGTTTTGGTGGCTTCAGCTCTCGGTGGCTGGCCTTCGGGCCAATCTTTCGTGGCAAAATGCATGATGCCCTTTGGTTTTCCTTTGGTTTCTTTTTGGTTGTCCTGTGGTTTCGCTTTGGTTTCGCTTTGGTTTCTTTCTGGTTGCCCTGTGGTTTCCCCTTGGTTTTCCCTTTGGTTTCTTTTTGGTTGCCCTGTGGTTTCCCCTTGGTTTTCCCTTTGGTTTCTTTTTGGTTGCCCTGTGGTTTCCCCTCGGTTTCCCTTTGGTTTCTTTTTGGTTGCCCTGTGGTTTCGCTTTGGTTTCCCCTTGGTTTTCCTTTGGTTTCTTTTTGGTTGCCCTGTGGTTTCGCTTTGGTTTCCCCTTGGTTTTCCTTTGGTTTCTTTTTGGTTGCCCTGTGGTTTCGCTTTGGTTTCCTTTGGTTTTCCTTTGGTTTCTTTTTGGTTGCCCTGTGGTTTCGCTTTGGTTTCCCCTTGGTTTTCCTTTGGTTTCTTTTTGGTTGCCCTGTGGTTTCGCTTTGGTTTCCCCTTGGTTTTTTCCTTTGGTTTCTTTTTGGTTGCCCTGTGGTTTCGCTTTGGTTCCCCTTGGTTTTCCTTTGGTTTCTTTTTGGTTGCCCTGTGGTTTCGCTTTGGTTTCCCCTTGGTTTTCCTTTGGTTTCTTTTTGGTTGCCCTGTGGTTTCGCTTTGGTTCCCCTTGGTTTTCCTTTGGTTTCTTTTTGTTGCCCTGTTTTGGTTTCCTTTGTTTTTTTTGGTTGCCCTGTGGTTTCCCCTTGGTTTCCCTTTGGTTTCTTTTTGGTTGCCCTGTGGTTTCGCTTTGGTTTCCCTTTTGTTTCTTTTTGGTTGCCCCGTGGTTTCCCCTTGGTTTCCCTTTGGTTTCTTTTTGGTTGCCCTGTGGTTTCGCTTTGGTTTCCCCTTGGTTTTCCTTTGGTTTCTTTTTGGTTGCCCTGTGGTTTCGCATTGGTTTTGCTTTGGTTTCTTTTTGGTTGCCCTGTAGTTTGGCTTTGGTTTCCCCTTGGTTTTTCCTTTTGGTTTTCTTTTTGGTTGCCCTGTGGTTTCGCTTTGGTTCGCTTTGGTTTTCCTTTGGTTTCTTTTTGGTTGCCCTGTGGTTTCGCTTACAGCTTCCCCTTGGTTTTCCTTTGGTTTCTTTTTGGTTCCTATGGTTTCGTAACTTTAGTTTCCCCTTGGTTTTTTCCTTTGGTTTCTTTTTGGTTGCCGGGGACGGTCGCTTTGGTTTTCCCCTTGCTTTTCCCTTTGGTTTCTTTTTGGTTGCCCTGTGGTTTAGCTTGGTTTCCCTTGGTTTCTTTGGTTTCTTTTGGTTTGCCCTGTGGTTTAACTTTGGTTTCTAACTTGGTTTTCCTTTGGTTTCTTTTGGTTGCCCAGGAGTTTATTTTGGTTCCCTTGTGGTTTTCTTTGGTTTCTTTTTGGTTGCCCTTGTGGTTTAGCTTGGTTTCCTTGGTTTTCCTTTGGTTTTCTTTTTGGTTGCCCTGTGGTTTAACTTTGGTTTCCCCTTGGTTTTTCCTTTGGTTTCTTTTTGGTTGCCTATGGTTTGGCTTTGGTTTCCCTTTGGTTTCTTTTTGGTTGCCCTGTGGTTTCCGGCTTTTGGTTTTCCTTTGGTTTCTTTTTGGTTGCCCTGTGGTTTCGCTTTGGTTTCGCTTTGGTTTTCCTTTGGTTTCTTTCTGGTTGCCCTGTGGTTTCGCTTTGGTTTCCCCTTGGTTTTTTCTTTGGTTTCTTTTTGGTTGCCCTGTGGTTTCCCCTTGGTTTTCCTTTGGTTTCTTTTTGGTTGCCCTGTGGTTTCGCTTTGGTTTCCCCTTGGTTTTCCTTTGGGTTCTTTTTGGTTGCCCTTTGGTTTCGCTTTGGTTTCCCCTTGGTTTTCCTTTGGTTTCTTTTTGGTTGCCCTGTGGTTTCTTTTTGGTTCCCCTTTGGTTTCTTTTTGGTTGCCCTGTGGTTTCGCTTTGGTTTCCCCTTGGTTTTCCTTTGGTTTCTTTTTGGTTGCCCTGTGGTTTCGCTTTGGTTTCGCTTTGGTTTTCCTTTGGTTTCTTTCTGGTTGCCCTGTGTTGAGTGCTTTAAGACAGCCAAGGGGCGGGTGGTCCGGTATTGTGGCAATTGGAAGAGCGAACGGGCAGTTTCTTTTGGTTTTCCTTTGGTTTCTTTTTGGTTGCCCTGTGGTTTGGCTTTGGTTTCCCCTTGGTTTTCTTTGGTTTCTTTTGGTTGCCCTGTGGTTTAGCTTTTGGTTTCCCCTTGGTTTTCCTTTGGTTTCTTTTTGGTTGCCCTGTGGTTTGGCTTTGGTTTCCCACTTGGTTTTTCCTTTTTGGTTTCTTTTGGTTGCCCTGTGGTTCCGGCTTTGGTTTTCCCTTGGTTTCCTTTGGTTTCTTTTTGGTTGCCCTGTGGTTTCGGCTTTGGTTTCCCCTTGGTTTTCCTTTGGTTTTCTTTTTGGTTGGCATGTGGATTTGGCTTTGGTTTCCCCTTGGTTTTCCTTTGGTTTCTTTTTGGTTGCCCTGTGGTTTTGGCTTTGGTTTCCCCTTGGTTTTCCTTTGGTTTCTTTTTGGTTGTCCTGTGGTTTCGGCTTTGGTTTCCCCTTGGTTTTCCTTTGGTTTCCTTTTTGGTTGCCCATTAGTTTCGTTTGGTTTCCCCTTGGTTTTCCTTTGGTTTCTTTTTGGTTGCCCTGTGGTTTGGCTTTGGTTTCCCCTTGGTTTTCCTTTGGTTTCTGTTTTGGTTGCCTGGTTTAGCTTTGGTTTCCCCTTGGTTTCTTTTTGGTTGCCCTGTGGTTTCGCTTTGGTTTCCCTTGGTTTCTTTGGTTTCTTTTTGGTTGCCCTGTGGGTTTCGCTTTGGTTTCCCCTTGGTTTTCCTTTGGTTTCTTTTTGGTTGCCCTGTGGTTTCGCTTTGGTTTCCCCTTGGTTTTCCTTTGGTTTCTTTTTGGTTGTCCTGTGGTTTCGCTTTGGTTTCCCCTTGGTTTTCCTTTGGTTTCTTTTTGGTTGCCCTGTGGTTTCGTTTTGGTTTCCCCTTGGTTTTCCTTTGGTTTCTTTTTGGTTGCCCTGTGGTTTCGCTTTGGTTTCCCCTTGGTTTTCCTTTGGTTTCTGTTTTGGTTGCCCTGTGGTTTCGCTTTGGTTTCCCCTTGGTTTCTTTTTGGTTGCCCTGTGGTTTCGCTTTGGTTTCCCCTTGGTTTTTCTTTGGTTTCTTTTTGGTTGCCCTGTGGTTTCGCTTTGGTTTCCCCTTGGTTTTCCTTTGGTTTCTTTTTGGTTGCCCTGTGGTTTCGCTTTGGTTTCCCCTTGGTTTTCCTTTGGTTTCTTTTTGGTTGCCCTGTGGTTTCGCTTTTGTTTCCCTTTGGTTTCCCTTTGGCTGCCCAGTGGTTTCGCTTTGGTTTCCCCTTGGTTTTCCTTTGGTTTCTTTTTGGTTGCCCTGTGGTTTCGCTTTGGTTTCCCCTTGGTTTTCCTTTGGTTTCTTTTTAGTTGCCCTTTGGTTTCTTTTTGGTTGCCCTGTGGTTTCGCTTTGGTTTCCCCTTGGATTTCCTTTGGTTTCTTTTTGGTTGCCCTGTGGTTTCGCTTTGGTTTCCCCTTGGTTTTCCTTTGGTTTCTTTTTGGTTGCCCTGTGGTTTCGCTTTGGTTCCCCTTGGTTTTCCTTTGGTTTCTTTTTGGTTGCCCTGTGGTTTCGCTTTGGTTTCCCTTTGTTTTTTTTTGGTTGCCCTGTGGTTTCCCCTTGGTTTCCCTTTGGTTTCTTTTTGGTTGCCCTGTGGTTTCGCTTTGGTTTCCCTTTGTTTCTTTTTGGTTGCCCCGTGGTTTCCCCTTGGTTTCCCTTTGGTTTCTTTTTGGTTGCCCTGTGGTTTCGCTTTGGTTTCCCCTTGGTTTTCCTTTGGTTTCTTTTTGGTTGCCCTGTGGTTTCGCTTTGGTTTCCCCTTGGTTTTCCTTTGGTTTCTTTTTGGTTGCCCTGTGGTTTCGCTTTGGTTTCCCCTTGGTTTTCCTTTGTTTTCTTTTTGGTTGCCCTGTGGTTTCGTTTTGGTTTCCCCTTGGTTTTCCTTTGGTTTCTTTTTGGTTGCCCTGTGGTTTCGCTTTGGTTTCCCCTTGGTTTTCCTTTGGTTTCTTTTTGGTTGCCCTGTGGTTTCGCTTTGGTTTCGCTTTGGTTTTCCTTTGGTTTCTTTTTGGTTGCCCTGTGGTTTCGCTTTGGTTTCCCCTTGGTTTTTCTTTGGTTTCTTTTTGGTTGCCCTGTGGTTTCGCTTTGGTTTCCCCTTGGTTTTCCTTTGGTTTCTTTTTGGCCCTTTGGTATCTTTTTGGTTGCCCTGTGGTTTCGCTTTGGTTTTCCTTTGGTTGCCCTGTGGTTTGGCTTTGGTTTCCCCTTGGTTTTCCTTTGGTTTCTTTTTGGTTGCCCTGTGGTTTCGCTTTGGTTTCTTTTTGGTTCCCCTTTGGTTTCTTTTTGGTTGCCCTGTGGTTTCGCTTTGGTTTTCCTTTGGTTTCTTTTTGGTTGCCCTGTGGTTTCGCTTTGGTTTCCCCTTGGTTTTTCTTTGGTTTCTTTTTGGTTGCCCTGTGGTTTCGCTTTGGTTTCCCTTTGGTTTGTTTCTGGTGGCCCTGTGGTTTCGCTTTGGTTTCCCCTTGGTTTTCCTTTGGTTTCTTTTGGTTGCCCTGTGGTTTCGCTTTGGTTTCCCTTTGGTTTTTTTTTGGTTTCTTTTTGGTGGCCCTGTGGTTTCGCTTTGGTTTCCCCTTGGTTTTCCTTTGGTTTCTTTTTGGTTGCCCTGTGGTTTCGCTTTGGTTTCCCCTTAGTTTTCCTTTGGTTGCTTTTTGGTTGCCCTGTGGTTTCGCTTTGGTTTCGCTTTGGTTTTCCTTTGGTTTCTTTTTGGTTGCCCTGTGGTTTCGCTTTGGTTTCGCTTTGGTTTTCCTTTGGTTTCTTTTTGGTTGCCCTGTGGTTTCGCTTTGGTTTCGCTTTAGTTTTCCTTTGGTTTCTTTTTGGTTGCCCTGTGGTTTCGCTTTGGCTTCCCCTTGGTTT